TGCACACCACTTTGATGGCGTGCCATGTGTTTCAAAGCAGTAGTGGAGAGTGCCAACATCGTCAACGCATCAGTAGCGTAGGGCTCATTGCGTCTATTTGTAGAATGTAACATGATTTCACTTGTTTTTTGTTCTAGCAACGCAGTCCTTACCATCCCCATTTGGCACAGCTTCCGACACCGGTCAATTCGACTGCCACGTCGTCTGCTGCAGGCATGGATGAGGCGGGTGTCGATCCGCCCGTCATCTTCTCGCGCGTCGTATGCGGTGGTGCAGGCAAGGAGAGACCGCGTTTCATTCCCCACCACCACCATCATCATCACCGGCGGCAGCAACAACAACAGCAGCAGCAGCAACAGCAAAATCATTCAATGGAGGGGTTCGCGGATGTGGCGTCTCAAGTGATGTCTAACGTGGCCACAGTGCCACCTCCACAACCGACGCCTCCCACCAACCTCCCCAGGGTTTCCCAACAACTGCAGACGCAGCCGCAGCCGCAGCCACCCGAGCAACAAATAACGCCGCACACCATGGGTAAGTGGTAGTGTCGTCGTTGGACGTGCCGCGTGGTTGACTGCTGTCGCAACGGGGCTCCATTAATGTGCCTTCTGCACACCATACTCTCGGTTTGATTGGTGCCTATGGACTCGTCCTCAATGAATTGGCTTTGCTGATGTTTTATTCATTACTTGTCTTCTAGGCCAGTTCCACTTTGCGTCTGATTATCGGTGTCTGGCGGAGTGTCCGACGCAGTACTTGATCTCAAGGAGTCAGCCAGGTCACTGCAACGTCGGATATTGCAGTCCCGGGTATTCAAGAGTTCGGCAACCGGCAACTGGGGCTTATAGAGCCTTGACGACAGGAGGTAGAAGCGACTATTCCCAGTCGATGCCACTGCAACCCTCTGGTTTGTGTGAGCAGGCACCAAGACTGCAACCGTCGTCATATATGATACCGCAGAATCCGCAGTATAACCCCTACAGTATGCCACCCCAGTCGCCTTGTTCAGGACAGCATCCACCTCCTACTCCTCACCCTCACGTTGCGTGTCACATGCGTCGTGTTGATGGTAAGTGGAAGGTTTGACGTCTGGCGCGATAACATGCTTTTATGTGGGATGTGCATGTAATGTTAGACTCATTCTGACAAGCCAAGATGCCTGCATGTGCCGTGGTTTTGCCAGCAGTTGCGTGTTGGAGTGGATAGCAATTGACAAGCATGTGCATTGTTTATTTTAGACCAGTCGCCTCATCAAGGACTTCTGTAGAAATCGGACACATGTGGTGGCAGACCCATCGTACAAAGTACTCTCCATGCCACTGCTATTCTTGATCTCCTTTTGCACACTCGCCTTTTGGCTCCACCACTACTTGGCTCCTCGATTCTGTAGCTTACCTGAGGAGGATAGCGTGTGCACCGCTCATTCACTATCTAATCTATTTCCATTGGCTCGTTTCACACCCACGGACCTCTTTTCCTATATTTTTGTAAAGTGAATTCTGCTTAGTTGTCTTTTCTGCATTTTATCCTCCAATTGGTGGACACCTGCTTAGTTTGCATTAATCTGCACTGACAAGGCGCAGCGATGCAGCGTGTGAAGCGTTGGTGGTAGTGCAGGCGAATTTGTTAGCAATCACCAAGTCGACCACCGTGGAACGGATGTGAGTGGGCGCGCCGTGGTCTGTCCATGTGAAGATTGCGGGAGTCGTTGTTTCGACGGTGCCAAGCACAATCTTTGGGCTTGTGGGCAATGCTAGTGGTGCCTGTATGCAAAACAACGGACAGTCTCAGTGGGACATGTGGAGGGGTGTTGCGACTGTGTGAATGTAATTTCGTTCATGCTAAGCGCAGGCTAAGTTGCAGAATTTGTGATGTGATACCTCGGTTCCTTCACTTCAAGCAATAACGGTGTGTCGCCTTCAGGAACCTAGACTGCCCATTTGGGATATTGGGTGACTGTCAGTCTGAAGAAGCTGCCTTGGTTTTGTGAAACTAGGCTTCACATTTCACTGACTACACAGAACTAGTAAAATCGTTCATGTTGTGTTTAGTTCCGATCGGATTTGGTGAGGAGAGACGCATTATTACACTGAAGTCAATGCCATTTCGATTGGTCAGGTCGCTAGCATTGAAATTCG